GCTTCCAAAACGTGTGTCAATGATGAGATGAAACAGTTTTGTGAAACAATAAAACAGTAGTGGACAATGGAGCAGGAAGGATGAGGAAAGCGTTGAGTGGAGGGTGTGCCTGTAACCAGCAATGTACTGAGAGGATTGGATGTGCAGGGCAACACGTCACCGTAAGACCAATAGAGGTGGACGGAGTGTCACGGGCAAAACACAAAACGGATAGCTGTGGGGCTGCCATGCCAATATCAAGTCAGAGACATGGAGACTGTGCTGAGAAACGTAAGAGACTGATCATCTTTAGCCGGCAGTACTAAACAGTGAGGTCGTATCTGATGAAGCAATCGTGACAACAGCTGATGTTCCCCAGGGAATGCTCTGGAACCAAGCTGAGTTGCCCTTGCAGTCGAGCCGGATAGTCAATTCAAGTCAGAATAGTTATGAGGCTATAGAATGCATGCACTTTAGGCACCTATACTATAGCAGCGAATGAATTGACACAACACCAACAAGGAATACCATAATAACAGATGAACTCAAAGATTTGCCGCTGGAGGAAGCGATCGAGCATCGCGCATATGATTTTCGGCTAGGTCGACGAGCAATACCAACACACAGTAAGACGAAAGTATGATGCAGTATGGGAAACACACTCAGGGTTAGGTCCCCGTCATTGCAGTAAAACAACTGTGGTCAGGGCACCGAAGTGTGGTGGATCCAGTTGTCACGACTCACGTTGCAAGAATAACAAAAAAGAGGACGGTAACAAAAGGAGGTTTAATGCAAATACAATATAAAGAAAATGGAAGCAAGAGGTGTGTTACATAAATCGGGATAGAATGAACGTTAACAGCTAGATGCAAGAAAGCTAATGAAAGTGAGACAGCACCACGTCTGATAGGGCCTCTAACTAGTGGTGTGGATTATCCTGAGGTCTCCATCCACGAAGACGGACACGAATCAGCCTCACCAAACCTCTGTCAATTACTTCCATGTCCCTATGCCACGTCATCGAGTGGCCACTCGAACTGCCGCCCATTTTTGTGTAGTCATGACGTATAATGCACGCCGACGAAGCTTATTAATAGGTAAACGGAAGATATGACCAAGCTAAGATAAGCGGTTAACAGTCAGCGAACAGTTGAGTGAGGCATCAGAAGGCTTCTTACCATAAACCAACTAGCGGACCTCAGCATTGCTCACCCGGTGTTCCCACCAGACGATGAAGACTCGCAAGCACCAGTGCTCAAACACGGTTAAGCGTTTCCTGTCTTCGCCGCGAACTGGCCAGGTCTCTGTCTGATAGAGTAACACCGGTCTTCTCGCAATGTTATACCCCTCACCTTTCAAATACAGGCAAATATCGCACCGACTCCATAGATGGTTGAGCCACTGGAAAGCCCCGCGAGGTTTGCTGATGTGCGAAGTAACTTCCTCAGCGTTGTGACCACTAGAGGTGAAACAACTACCAAGATAAGTGGGCCGAGTCACCACTTCCAGTGGCTGCGTATTGGTCCAGCCATCCATTAATACTTTGCAATTTAAAGGTGCAAAGCACATGCCGGTGCATGTTGCGCTACGCACCAATCTATCCAGAAGTGTTTGCATAGCCACTGCGTCAGACCCCAGCGGAGAGTTATTTTCTCCGCATACTTAAGGTTGGTTGGTTAGTCAGTCGGTCGTCGCAGAACTTCCACTCCGGTAAAGTCTGAAAGAATGGAGTCATCCATGATCATTTCGATCATAATGTTGAAGAAGTAGAGGAAGAAGAAGGGATTGATAGGACAATCCTGTCGAAGTCCATTTGTCGTGGGGAACACAGGAGAGTTTCCCGTAGGCCCTTAAAAGACCTCGGAAACGCGGGTGAAAGATTTCAGAATAGAGATAAATTTAGCTGGCACGCCCTTCATAGATGGGCAGTGTTACAAGCTGGCGCGGTCAACAGAGTCTAAGACAGATTGCAAGTCAAGGAAAACAACCATAGTCGGTCGTCCGTAAGTGTTTCCCCGCTCTAAAACTTGGCGAAGAGTAAATATGTGGTCGATACAACTGCGACCACACAAAGTACACTAACCCTTGTGAAGATGGGCACGACAGTGGAATCGCCAGTCTGAACGCAGTTCCTCAGCGTCAGAATCGTGTTAAATGGAACAGCAATCTCGGTCAACAAAGAGTTACCTCCATCTCTCAGTAAAAATGGAGAAAAGTTTTCGGGTGCAGGAGTCTTGTTTCGTGTCAACACGGAAATCTCATATGAAATCTATTCCAAAGTGGGAGGTGTGAAATCAATCTCCCATGTCAACTCAGAGGATTCAACAAACGGCAGTGTCGCAACAGGCCCGCTGAATTGCTCCACAAAATGTTCCGCCCAACAGGCTAGTCAAGGAGACTGAGAATGGATCAAGCGTTCATCTTTCTTAACTATTGTCACAATAACTGATCGCTTTCTCGGGCCCGTGTTCCAGATGAGCTGTAATAGTACTCGGCTGTTCCAATATCATTGTCTTTCCAAATCATACGGGCACTTGCCATCTTACAACGTTTCCGGATGGTCCGAAGACTGTTTGTCAAACGTTGTTTCAGGGCATTACGGACACGCTGAAACTCAGCGCCCATCGGAACCTGTTTCCATGTTTCTAACAAGTTGATCGATGCTTCAGATATCCATTAACAATTCGGAAGTCTCAAGCCGGGTGCACAGCAGACATCAAAAGCATTCTTCGTGGATGACTCCAATCAGCGTTAGGCCCACTAACCTCATGCATTTTGGACAGTCGATGGACCAGTCCGTCCTGTTATTACCGAACTGCGGATTGGGAGTTCCAGCTAAAAGTAAATAGCTTAGAAGTTAGGCATTTCTTTGAAGTGGGAAGAGTGAGCGCCACGCGCGCGCACCAGATCATGGTCGGAATCTAGACACGTGCTATAAATTGACCGACAGTCTTGGACTGATGTGCATCAGCCATAGCTAATGGGTCCATTTCACCGAGAAATTTGGTGGGCCCCTTGGAGTAACGTTTTGAATTTGGAGTGCAATGGCAGGTTGAAACGGTTGACAGCCAGCGCTAATTCGTCCAGTGCTGCTTGGCGAATTTGGGGGCTGTCACAGACTAGGGCGATGTTGTTGGCACACCCCAGTCACTTAAAAGCAACTCAACAACTAACACACATCCGGTGAACGCAATTTTCATGACTTCGAGGATGACGAAGTTAAAAAGGATAGGTGATGACAAGCATCCCTGTTTAACATCACGAGATAATGAATCGCAGTGGCAGATTTCCATCCGCCAACACATTGCCCGAACTGCGGTCGTAAAGCGCTCGTAGACTACTTACGCATTCCTAGGACAAACTTTTGCTAAAAAGACCTTCTCAAAGAATACATCGATTCACCTTTGGTATCGAGGAAGGCGACAACAGTGGGTAGTCAATATAAGTGGAGTCGCTCCAACAACTGGCGTAGTCATGTGACTAATGCAGGTAGGAGTTCGACGAAATCCGGATTGTCGTTCACGCCACTATAACGTTCAGTGTGATGTGGTGCGCTCTCGCACCACCTCAGTAGATGGCTGTTTCCACTGTGGACGTGCTCATCCCTGTAAGTGATGCACAAGTCAACTTTCGTGCTCTATCTTGGAGCTAGTAAACCATGATATGTTTCGGGGACAGAACGTTAACAGTGACGGTGCAACAATGTGCCCAAACATGTTGGGTTCAGGCGAACTTATCGAACGTTGTAGTTCTCCACAAGTCTAAACGAAAAGCATCGTGTACTCGAAGAAAGTCCGCAGTGTCACCAATTTGGGACCACGAAGAAAGTCCTCCCAATATGACGCTGTTGCAAAGTCAACGGTGTTTGCTTGTTTCAAATCGCCGCATTTTACTTGGTAACTTGGATCGATTCTTGTGAGAGATAATACAAAAGCTAGAGCTTTTGCCTTATTTCCATACAGTTTCCTCAAGGAGTTTTATATTGTCATCACTAAATCTAGTGAGCGACACCAACTGGATCTAACGCAGTTCGGTGGGCAGTTATTGGCTGACTAACGTAAAAAGGCAAAGCACTGTGAGGTACTGCTGAAAAAAAACAAAATGGGAAAACAATGATGTACAAAAAAGAACACTCACTTGCTAGAGCCGAGGATGCACGCAAATCCCCTGCTTCGACCGATCCGAAAAAGGGCTCAGCGTTACGAATAGCAATGCAATTCGCACCAGCATCGTTACTACGATCAGCCGAAGAGAATGCGGCTGCGACCTCGGCATCCTCGAAAGACACATCCTGTGGTTCAGTGGAACCAGTGCCACGTTCCTTAATGAATAATTGTAACAACTGCTCGGTTGTCAAGGCGGCCAAATCCTGTTGGAACTGGTTGAATAAATTATCGAGACCATTTCGTGTGGTTATCCAAACGGAGCCATAGCGCTGCAGAAACTCGCGCATTTGTTCCAAATAGGCAATCTCAATTTCCTAAAAAGAACGAAAACCAGTTAGAGTTGGAGGTGTGGACAAGTTCGAGCACAACTGAGTCGTGAGAAATAATGAATAATGGTTTATCACAGGCTAAGAGGCATGTGCTTTGCAAGTCTCGCTGGGTGGTCTTGTAAGCGTTTTCATAAACGCAACAATGAAAAAGATACTGCACTTTAAATGAAGTGGCTAGCCGCTTTCTTTCACTTGTTTACATCCGCCATATTGTCCAGATCAAATAAGTGAATAGCAGAAAAGTCAGGGCTTTTTCAAGTGAATGCAATGGAAGGATAGCACTAAGTGATGAAATATAAACAGTTGGGTGCGCCGTTCGGTAGCAGAAGTGACTGAATCGGGGGGGGGGTGGATGAAACGAAGATAAAAGAAACTGCGACGAGACTTCGGGTGACTGCTGCTTTGTCCATTTTAGATTAATCACCAAAAGTCCTAGCAATGGGTGGCACACATAATTTGAGTCATGCGGGATCAGGTGAGCCATGATTATGCCGCCTTGTAAGCGGAGTTACGCTCAAGGATTTAGATCTCAGCTCGTACGGGAGACTTCGCATTTCAGTGACACACTTGGAAGTTCGATGTTTCAAATGACGCTAAAGCAGAACGCAAATCGCGGCCCGTACTGAAATCCCGTGGCGCAGTCCATTCACATCACGAGTCAACCAAGCGAAACAACACCAGTTGTTAGAGCTGAGAGAAGAAACCGATGGTGCAGAATGAATGTTACTGGAAAACAAGAAAATGAGGACAAATCAAGTGAAGACGGAATGGGCCAAGGGCTAAACTCGTGTCAAGTATGCGGCTGAACACGTCATGTAATACACAGGTTCGTAAACCACCCAATTCTGCGTAACGTTTGAACAGAATACAATTCACGGTCGGACTATGAGCTGACCAAGCGATGACATGATAAAAAGCGTAAGGAAACTGGGAGTAAATGAGTCCAGTTGGCACGTCCCATCTTCTTGCATTAAGTTGAGGTAAATGATCAGTTCGACGGCTGCCAACACTGTCTGAATAGCCGCGGTCAAGGTGTCACTGGCACTCTGGGTCCGCTTATGTACAAACAGAAGCGAATCCTACACTCAGCCGTACATAGCATCAGCAGTAGGAGACTTTAATTCACCTAGACGAGACCAGACGTAGTGATTCTTGTGCTTGTGTTTAGGGCTATTCTGTCGGCCGAATGGATTACGCGTCTATCCTGAAACACAAAAGTCACTGGCTCGAATCTGCGTAAAAGCGGGCAACTTCGCAGTATACCCAGAGCGTGGTGTTCGGTTGCAACGAAGCGTTAGTATGACGTACCAGCATACTGCTTATGTCTCTTATAGCAATTTTAGTCTAATATAAATACAGTACTTCTCACTTCTACATGGTAGGAGCAGCCTGATCAAATTATTTAGCGTCAGAATAATTTACACGGGTGGTGACTTCGGGATCGGACACATGAATGGCAGACACCCTATTCCCGAAGCGTGCATTCCATCTTTTATTACTGTACAGCATTCCATCTGACGCTTTCAACACATTCCTCTCCCGAATTGCCGTTGGCAGTATTAGCAACAGCAGTGATCGCTACGGCATTATTGTAACCAGAATCAAAGAAGCTGGGTCCACATAATTTTGGTGCACAGATCGTAGTTGACTGGGGATAGATAATGGTCTCACAACTATGTTCACTACATAAGTTTTGCAAATGATAACTGCAGTCAGGCTTAATATCAAGGATGACATGAAGCTTTGGTTCTACAAACAATGACGCTGGGCTTTTGCCCGTAAACCAAACAATTACCAGTGGAGCTCCCCGATATTTGCTTAAGAGGCGAGTCTTTACTTTCGAATAAGTATGCGAGTGCAGACTCTAGCTAAGACCATGTCGGCGTCTCAGTCAATGAATGTATAACGAGTCCGAGTAATGATTACATCTACAGAATTTAGTATATTTTTGATAACGATATATAAAAATACTGCGACCAGTTAACGAGCTGCATCAACTTCTGATTCGATGCCTGCTGTCCAATGGAAACCATTTGCATCCATGCGGATCGGTTTTCATCTCCATGCCTAAAACTCTTGCGTAGACGCAAAGAAAAAGCTTTCAAAACGAAAACCACTCTGCGGTGAAACCTTTCACTATTGCTAGCAAAACTGAGTTGCGCCGTCTAAACCACCTATATGTCCAAAAGCATGTTGGGAAGTAGTAGCTGCCGGGATATCTGGCGTATGCTGAAACAACTTAGTGAAGTCTCTAACCGAGCGCCAAATCCAGATGTAGATCTGGAAGAACTGAACCGAAACTTCTGTTGCTTCAATGCTAACTCCAACTCTCACCCTTCTTCCCCAAGATTGCATCGGCCCACAACCTCCTTGTCTGCCATTGACAGAAATACAGTGCGCAGTAAACTAGCACAGCTAAACTCCAACAGAGCAAGTGGTCCGGGTGGACTATCACATGTTGTCTTCAAAGTGTGTGCCGATTCCTTGGCCCAACCACTTGATGACCTATACACGTCGTGCATGAAAGAGTGTAATATTGCTGACTACTGGAAAAGTGCCAGAATTACACTGGTGCCAAAGAAAGGGTCAGATAAATACCGACCAATTGCCTGAACCTCGGTAAACTTGAAGATATTCGAGAAGATTATTCTTGAAAAGTTGCTGAATCAGACGATCCGCTACAGTTTGCTTATCGTAGTCAGAGGTCTACTCAAGACGCACTAGCCTATCTTGACATTCAGTGCTGTCGTCACTAGACAACAAGGTCAAATCCGTACGCGTATTTCTTCGAGTACAGTAATGTTTTCGACGGTGTAAACCGTGAGTATCTTTTTGGAGACCAGCAAGATGTCGGAATACAACTCTATACTGTCCATCACTGGACTCACACACATTACTCGACTTGAAAGTAAAACTTCCTCGCCGCTCAACACAGACACTGGAGTTCTTCATGGGGTCTTACTATCTCCATACCTTTTCCATCTACATCGGCTCTTTACTTGCCCCTGCCAATGTGATATCACTGAAATATGCAGGCAATGTAGCCTTGAGTATGCAATAACCGACCACACCCTCATCAACTAAATAACAATCCTATCTGGACACCCATGTTTTATGGTGCAGAGCTCACTTTTTATCGCTGAATGCATCATAATGTAATAACATTATTTTCTCCCTATATAAAGGCCATGCTTATGAGCAACTCCTCATGGTCTACCCCGAACTTCACATAGATGGCGAGAATTCGCACTCCAGAGTGTCAGTGAAGTAGCTTGGTGTAACACTCAGTCGTGATCTTTCCTGGTCACTCCATGTTAATGATGTTTTTACAAAGATGGGGAGGCTTTCGTTCTACGCCCTTCGTTTACGATCCTGCTCTGTCTCACGCCACTTAATGCTGAGATTTATTACCGCATGTGTCTTACTCCATTGGACCTATTGCTTCACTGTGATTTTTCCTGCTTTCCTGCACTTCAAACTCCTACGTAGATCACTGACGCAATCATCTCGGTGTAGTGGAATT